GGGTAGGAGGGAGGGAGGAGGTAGACAGAGTAAAGCGGGTCAAATATGTGGTGACAGAAAGAAATCTAACTATGGGAGATGAACATACAATGTAAATATGTGTGTGCTTTACTGTTAAAGTGTACAGCTCAAACTTATTGGATTCTGTTAACCAATGTCACCATAAAATAATTAATTAATTAAAAATAAATAAATAAAATTCACGTTACTTTAAAATAAATAAATAAATAAATATTGTCATGGACCTTAGCTATCTTCAAGTCTTCTATTAGTCTCTTTTAGACCACAGATTTTTAACTTTTATTTACTTATATTTATCATGAATAAGCATCATATATCACAGATGCTTCATTAATTTCAATAACTCTGTAGTCATATATAAATTACCCCATATATAACATAGAATAGTTCTTTTAGTAAAGGACTTATCCATAGACAGAATTTAAAATATTTTAGATGCTATACAACTTCATGGGAAATTGAACATCTCGTTTCCTCCTATGTGTATAAAGTATGGCATTTTAGTGTATCAGAAGAAATGCCATAACAATTTCTAAAATGATACACAAGAAACTGTCAGCAGTGATTACCTCTCGGAAATGAGATGGATAAAGGATTGAGGAATTGTGCCTTTCACTTTTCATTGCACACTTTTATATAGTTGGATTTTTTTAAAAGCAGACTCTGGTTATATTTTTGAGTATACATAATTAGATCTTAAAAAACTGAATGAGATAAGCATAATTGTTACTATTTTTGAATCTAAAAATAATATTAGATATTCCTAAGTTGTGACATCAGATTTCCATGGCTAGCGTGCAAAAGGCAGGTGTAAAGTTTGTGAACATGAGGTAAAGGTTAATCAGGAAAGCAGGGATTTTAGAAAATCGCTTCATGTTTCTCTTTTATTTTGGCTTTAGTAATCTGGTATTTTTAAAAATGAAAACTGACATTTTCTGGTTAAGTCTTTTTATAGTTCATGAAATCTGTACATTAAAATTTTAACTGTCTACTTCTCTGCTTAGTAGATAAGTTATGATAAGGACTTACTAAGTATCTGATCTTCAATTTTCTTTTGGGGAGGTGGAATCCCCTATATTATTTACTTATTTTATTTTGTATATTTATTTAAACATTTTTTATTTTTCAATTACAGTTGACATTCAAATTATATTAGTTTCAGGTGTATAGCATAGTGGTCAGATATTTATGTAGCTTACAAAGTGATCCCCGTAACAAGTCTAGTACCCACCTTACAGCATGCATAGTTATTACACTATTATTGACCATATTCTCTATGCTGTACTTTACATTCTCATAATTATTTCATAACTGCCAATTTGTACTTCTTAATTTCTTCACTTTCACTCACCCCCAACTTCACAACCCCCCTTCCATCTGACAACCATCAGTTGGTTCTCTGTATCTATGAGTCTATTTCTGTCTTTGTTTATTTCGTTTTTTAAATTCCACAAATAAGTGAAATCATATGGTATTTGTCTTTCTCTGACTTATTTCACTTAGCATAATCCCCTCTAGGTCCATCCATATTGTCACAAATGGTAAGATCACACTCTTTTTTTTATGGCTGATTTATATTTCGTTGTATATATGTACCACATCTTATTTATTCAATAATCTATTAATGGACACTTAGTTGCTTCCATATCTTGGCTATTTTAAATAATGCTGCAATTCAATGAACACAAGAAAGTAGATAGCCTTTCAAATTAGTGCTCTGAATTTCTTTGGATAAATGCCCAGAAGTAGGATTGCTGATAGTTCTATGTTTAATTTTTTTATCTTCAGTTTCTAGTCTGTAAAATATGAGTGATCCTTCCTCCCAGACATAAGGTGAATATCAAATAAGATCGTTTAAGCATAGTATCTACCACTGTGCTCAGCACATAATAGGTACTATATTTCTCTCTCTTCCTTAGTATGTGCATTACTACACCTGCAGAAAAGATTATTATTTATTCAGTTAGTAAACATATACTGTCTACCTACCATATGCCAAGCATTATGCTAGGTGGTCAAGATACAAAAATGAATAAGATAAAATTCTTTAAAAAGCTTTTGTAAGAGAGCAAGCAACTACAGAAAAGTAAGTACAATTTGTCAGTTATTTCTCCTATGTTAAGGGTATGGATGGAGTATTGTAAGGAACAAAGAGAGAAGAAACCATTTCCATGGAAGGGGTGAGGAGTTTAGAAAAAGCTTGAGACTTCAGCTGGGCCTTAAAATATAAGTAAGAGTTTTCCAGGCAGTTATAAGAGAAAGAAAATTTCAGAAGAGGAACTGCATCATCTCAATGTAGTTGCAATTAGATGTAGCAATGACCTAGAAATTATTTAGGAGAATGACCTAATTTATTCTTTCATTTGTTCATAGGTATTTCTTGCTCAGAGATACAACAGTAAAAATAATAATAATAATAATAACTTGGTCCCAACCCTTCAGGAAGCTTGTACTCTAGTGGGAAAGACAAATCTTAATCAAATAATCACAGAAATTCATGTAAAATTGAAACTTTGTAAGTACTTCTGAGAGGAGGCTCAGTACATGATGATATAAGACCATAAAACAGGTATTTGACCTAACAAAAAGGTTAGAGAAGTCTCTTCTAAAGAAGTGGTGCTTGAACCCAGAGGTAAAGGGTGACTAGAACTTAACTGAGAAAAAGAGAAAGAAAAACCATTCGAGGAAAAGTAAACAGAGCCTATGGTAGGAGAGGTCAGTGTCTTCGAGGGTGTGATCACCACCTTGAATGCATTACCACACTCTGACCTTCAAGTTTTGAGAATTTAGATGCCTTCCAGAGATCAGGCAGGTCACTTACATTGTCAAATGTGTAAGGCAATAAAGGGGGCTACTAGATTGGAGAACTGCAGAAGTCTTTTCCTGCCTAAAATGAAACTTGTTGGCAAATGAAATTTACTGGCTTACAAGAAAAGAATTTTTGGTTTGCATACACAGAAGAAAGCCACTGTGACTGGAGTGGGAAGAACTAGGAGGTTTGTGACACAAGATGAGATACATAGGTCAAGCCTTATAGCCACAGGTAGTCCCTGTAGTAGTCTTGTCATTTTCCTAAAAGCAACATGAAACCAAAGTGTTAAGCTGTGGTTGATATGGTCAGGTATATGTTTCAAAAAGATCATTCTGCCCATGGCTTGGATAATGGAATAGGGACAAAAGTGGACATAAGTAGACTATTGTAAAATGTGGTTTTTAGTCTAAAGTAAAAGCCATGAAAATAGAAAGAAGTGAATGAATTTGAGATACATTGAAGTGATAAAATGGATGAGACTTGGTGATAGGTTCAATAAGGGGGAAAGGAAGATGTCAAGGATAATCCTTAGGTTCTTAGTTAACATAACAGGATGAATTCATTGAGGGAGGGATCTCTGGAAGAATATCAATTTGTTGTTGGTTTAGAGTGAGGTGGAAGGACAGGGGAAAGGATGAGTTTCTTGGTTGGGACATATTGAGTACGCACAGGCCTTGGAGACATCTGAGAGGAGATATTATAGAACTGAATATGTAAGGAGCTGCCTGGGCTGAAGGTGCTATATAACATTAATAAGTCAAGGCTGAGGAGAAAGAGC